GCAGCTGCTGCTGCAGCAGCTGGCTACTACCACTACTGCTACCGCTGCTCGTGCTGCAGTTGCTGCTGTTGCTCCCACTGCTCCCACTGCTCCCACTGCTGCTGCTGCTGCTGCTGCTGCTGCTGCTGCTGCTGCTGCTGCTGCACTCACCACCAGACATACAACCCTCTGCAGGAGAATTTGTTAGCGCCCGTGTCAGTGCTCGTGTATGTACACCCCGGCGTCTGCTGCAGCTGCTGCCAGCCTTGCTTTCTACATCTGCATCACTATTTGTTGCTGCTGCTGCTGCTGCTGCTGCTGCTGCTGTTGCTGCTGCTGCTGCTGTTGCTGCTGGAGCAGCTGCTGATACTGGGGGAGATGCTGGTGCGGATGGGCTCCCCCCATTATCTGCAGCAGATGTTTGCTGCTGCTGCTGCTGCTGCTGCTGCTGCTGCTGCTCGTCGATTTCCCCCTTACAATCCTGTTGCTGCGGCTGCTGCGGTTGCTGCTGCTGTTGCTGCTGCTGCTGCTGCTGCTGCTGCTGCTGCTCCGGGGGGGTATCCTCTCCCTTGTGGGGGCCCGGGGCCTCTGCTAGGATTTCGTGCAGCAGCTGCTCAGCATATGCAGTGTATACATGCGGCAGGGCCCCTTCACTTTCTTCCTCACACGACAGCTGCTGCTGCTGCTGCTGCTGCTGCTGCTGCTGCAGCTGCTGCAGCTGCTGCTGCTGGCTCTGGTGGTCAGAATTGCAGCTCTCCTGTCTTGAGAGCCGCATACCCTGCAGCAGACTTTGCTGCTGTCGAGCGTATGCGGCTTGATGCTGCTGCTGCTGCTGCTGCTGCTGCTGCTGCAGCCTGCTGTGCTGCAGCAACCCAGCCTTTATATCCCCCGGAAACGAAGGAAGGTGCAGCGGCGGCTGCTGCACGCCGCTGCTGCCTTTTGCTGTTTGCTGCGGCAGCAGCGTGCCCCCAACAACAAGCCCGGGGATGCTGCTGCTGTTGCTGCTGTTGCTGCTGTTGNTGCTGCTGTTGCTGCTGTTGCTGCTGTTGTTGCTGTTGTTGCTGCTGTTTCTGCTGCTTGCAGAGCCCCACTCACCCGGGCTACTCATCACACCTTCTCCCCCCGCTGTCTCCTGCTGCTGACGTTTTCTTGCTGCTGAAAGCTGCTGCTGCTGCTGCTGCTGCTGCTGCTGCTGCTGCTCCGGCTGCAGCAAACATTCCTCCATCCTCTGGCGCTTCACAGGGGGCCCTGGCCGCGCCTCGGTAGTAGACGTTGCTGCTGCTGCTGCTGCTGCTGCTGCTGCTGCTGGTGCTGCTGCTGCTGCGGTGTGGGGATGAGCAGGCCCCACACCCGCCAAGACACCGCCATAGGTAGAAGCAGCAGCAGCACCTTTGTCAGCAGCAGCAGCAGCAGCAGCAAACAAACTCTCTGAGGGAAGAGGTGCAGCAGCAACTGCAGCAGGAGGCAGCGGCTGAAACTTGAGGCCTTGCATGCAGCTGCCAGCAGCAGCAGCAGCAGCAACATCCGCATCTGCTGCTGCTAACACCGATTCAAATCTGCTGCTGCTGCTGCTGCTGCTGCTGCTGCTGCTGCCTGCTGCTGCTAGAATACCCACATCTGGCGAGGCCTCGGAGAGGAGCGGTGTGTCTCCTGGTGAGGGCCTGAGGTGCTGCTGCTGCGGCATCCTTGCTGCTGCTGCTGCTGCTGCTGCTGCTGCTGCAGCAGCAGCAGGATCTCTCAGCCAGGCAGAAGCTGCCTTGAAACTGTCGGGAGAAGGAGAAGCAGCAAAGCTGCTGGGGTGGCAATCAGCAGCAAGAGCAGCAGCAGCAGCAGCAGCTTCTGCTGGTGATGCGTTTGCTGCTGCAGCACTGCGGGGCCGCGCGATGCTGCTGCTGCTGCTGCTGCTGCTGCAGCAACTACTACTACTGCTACTACTACTGCTGCTGCTGCTGCTGTTGGTAGCAGCTATACCATTGAGCGCAGCAAGAGGAGAAGCCGATGCGGATGCTGCTGCAGCAGCTGCAGCAGCAGCAGCAGCAGCAGCAGCAATCATTGTATCACATGATGCCGTGGTGATAGAGTTACTACTATGATGCTGCTGCTGTGTGTTAGCAGCAGCAGCAGCAGCAGCAGCAGCAGCAGATGGCTGTTGCACAGCACTAGCTGCAGCAGCAGCCCCTCCTGCCCCCGCCCCCGCTCCCGCTGCCACCGCCGCAGCAGGATTTGCTGCAGCAGCAGCAGCAGCAGCAGCAGCAGCAGCAGGAGGAGGGGGTATAAGATGTCTATCAGTGGGTGGATCTATACAGTTGCTGCAGCTGAGTACATGCTCCTTAAGACAATGGGGGTAGCAGGAGGAGCAGCAAGGAGGCAAAGACAGCGGGGGGTTTTTTATGTCTGCCGGAACAAAACCAAAATGATTTATAAAACGAATCACCGCCCACGCTTTTAGCTGCGCTGTACTGTCACCATACTTCTGCAAAAAAAAAATAAAACAAAGACAAAGACAGACACGCATGTTTTTTTTTTTTTTTTTTTTTTTTTTTTTTTTTTTTTTTTTTNATATATATATATATATATATATATATATATTAGTATAATATATACAAATTCATTAACAAATATAGAGATATATAAATATAGAAATATATAAAAATAGAAATACATAAATATACAAATGCATGGGGTTATATATTATGGAGATGAATGCAATATAGTCAGC